GTCCCTAGCAAAAAACAATGAATTGGAAGCCATGTGTGCGCCTTGGACGCGGGAAAGGCTGTGCGCAGCCGCGTGCGCGTTGGACGCGGGGACGCGTGCGCCTTGGACGTGCTGGCCACTCCAGATCAGCGATGCTAAAGCGAAGGAAAGAGCGCAGCTCGGCAGGAAGGTCCTGCTGCGCCGTACGCAAGAGGATGACTGCGGAGAGGGCGGCCACCAGCCAGCAAAAGTACATGGCTGCAGTGGCACCGGCTACATGAGTGGTCGGAGCTGCAAGGAGCAGCTGACATACAAGAAACTTGAAATCCTGGTCTGTAGATGCATACGAGGCCACAGCTCGTTGTAACCCCCCCCCACCCTCCCCCCCCTTCCCCCTCCCCCCCATGCCCCCTAGTGCAATGCACGATTTATCCAGGCGCCTGGTGCGCGTGTAACCAACTATTTAGAACCGTATAGTAGTTGTGGAGTTCCAGTTCTATACAGGACAACCCTACCCGATAGAGTGTAAAGTGCACCCATTCAGCTGCTAAGCTTTCGAATCTGTAGAACCCGACTACCGAAACCATCGCAGAAAATCCCAGCTGAGAAAGTCTTAGTGTTTCTTATTTGACTGTAGCAGCAGACATGATTTGAAACTCTGACTGGACGAGCAACAGAATCATGAATGACACCATGCAGATACCTTCCAGATCTTCCACCAAGCCGCCTCACAAGCTGTTCCACCCTGGGCATCCTGTTAATGGAAAGACATACAGTCCTGTTAGAGAGGCCCTCAACAAGGTCGAGCATGTCTCGAGGTCTGGAATCTGAATCCTAACCCCTGCATAAAGGGCAACACATATTGCTTGGATCTCGGATAGAAATCGTGTGCGGCCGGTTCGTGATTGTTGTGGTACACACCGAGGAAACCTAGGGGCATCGTGCTGCATCGCAACACCAAAGTCCTCCGACTCCCACAAAGACATTGGCTCAGGAACTCAATTGGCCTTGGAGAGTTCGTGTCACAACTTCTGCCAGGTGTGTAGTATGCATTAACGTGTCGTGAAAGTGGAGGAGTACAATGCTTGACAATTGGAATCTAGCGTGCGTCCTGAACCTTCAAAAAGCTGGCACCTCTCCCCGAGGAACTACTACCCAAAGGCCCCAAAGCAGTTCCCTTTTGGGGTTCATACATAGAATCCTATAAGTTCATCCCAAAAAGTACTATGGGGCCTCTGAGTAACGCTACCGCGGCTGAAACCTCAGCCCTGACACCCTTATCCCCGACAGCTTCAAGAGCCACTACAACTGTAAAATCCTACGCCACAACACCTAAAACCTGACAATCTCTAAGTGGTTGTAACCTGGTTGTAGAAGCAAACGAAGTATACAGGTGCTTCAGTCATTCGAGTTGGGCTTCGGGCGGGTATGTTTCACCATCATGATGATCAGGAACCCTGCAAAATAGTATTGGCAAGTATGTACGGCCCCCCAAACCCAAAACACTGAACCCACAACCCTGACAAAAGAGTAATGTAGGGGCCCTAAGCATTAGAATACGGTTTGGGGTTCCTTTATGGTATAGTTATAAATAAGGAACCCTAAGGAATAAGGTTCGCAATTATTTTGGGATAGGAGATCGCAAAGCGTGCCTTCGCCCCAGGTCACTCCATGACCGGAACAATCCTGGCACAGGACCTCGCAAGAAACGAGCTGAAAACACCCTAAACCCCAAACTCCCACATTTACATGTATCTCTCTCTCTCTCTCTCTCTATATATATATTTTTATGTATATATAACATGAAACATGATGTAATAAAGTAGATTAGTACATACGACAGGATAAGATAAGACAAGATAAGATAAGTCACGCTCAGATAACGTGGACCGTTGCTTTGTAGTTCAATATCATATAACACATATGCCTGTATATTCATATATGCATATACATATGTACTTGCGTACTTAATCAGATAAGTATGTAAACAACACAACGAAAACATACTAATTAGCACGTACATTCAAATACAAACAACTAAACAAACATGCATGTTTGTGTATATATATATATATATGTGTATACACACACGCACATATGCATGTATCAGATAATTTATGACTAGGCTGGCGTTTCTTTACGGGCTCATTGAAAGCGGTTCTACAACGGCGTCATTTAGGGCTGCCATGAGGGCCTAGCACAGGGGCCAAGCCGATGAGAATAGGGTTTGGTGTGTATTAAAGTATAAAGTGTATAGGGACCAGGAGACCGATACTAACTATTCCGACACGTCGCTTACCGCATTTCGGTTTTCATCTGGGTGTTGATGGTACAGTATTGAAGGGGCTTCTATGCTTTATAGCTTCTGGGGTTCTGCGTTGATGTGGCTGCTGAGAGGTTATAGGATTTAGGAGTAGGTTTAGGTCAGATCTCCCAATGGCCGATGGCCATAAACAGCCACGACGACGGACCTCCGAAGCATCCATCTCAAAGTTCGACTAGGGATTTCTGCTTTAAGCCTCCCTGAATCCTAAATCCTAGACCCCTAAACCCCTAAACTCCTAAACCCAGCCTTGTTGACGGCCAACGCCGCGAGTGTCCATGTTCGGAGGGGGCCCATCTTGTGGCAAACACGGCTCAACGGAGGGTTGGAGGTTCCTTAAGAAATGCCTTCGGCAAGCATCCACGCAGTGCAGCATGCCGCAACACTTTAGTTCGCCAGCTGAGGCCGCGTGGGTGTTAAGGTTCAAAACCCTAAACCCCCAAGTCCAAAACCCTAAACCCCCAAACCCGAAAATCCTGAATCCAAAAACCCGAAACCCCAAACCCTAAACTTCCTAAACCCGAAGAGGGACCTGTTTGGTCTGCCGATTGCTGGCCTTGCAGTTGAACTGCCATTGTCCCCTTGCCAAGAGCCCGAAGGCCCGGTTTGCAAAGTGCAGCAGTTGGTTAGGACCGTGATTGCGTGCAATCAGGGACATGTATGTACTATAGGGGTAGGGTTTCGGATCGAGCCTTAGAGGCATAGCCGCTGACCCCAGTGCCACAGAGCACGAACTTCGAGCCATAGGGAAATCGCCTGCGGCTCGCTCGCCGGCGTGGCACAGGCGTGCCCGAAAGCGAAGAGCCAAGGCTAGAAAAAGGGTCCACAGTGCCAGGGCCAACCACCTGCGTCCTCTGACGGCAGACCTCCTTCGGCTCTCCTGTCACCACACGACGCCCCAATACCGGGAACTTCCAGAACTTCTTATGGGAAAAGCTGGAAAGTCATGGGGAAAGTCGTGGCAAGACCAGCAGCCCGCTCAGGGATATGGATGGCAGGACTACTCTGGCTACTACAAGGAGCCGGCGACAAGACAACCACGGCGCCCCCGAGAGCCACAAGGACCCAGTTTTCCTCAATACGATGCGATGGTCATCAGGGACCCCAAGGACAGCCGCCCCGAACCAGCGAGCCATGGCAGCCAGCCCAGTGCAGGGGCTGGCGACTTCCTCCGCACGGTGCAGAAGCTGACGAACAACCTCAGAAGGGCGGAGCTCCGCCTGCGAAAGTGCACCGAGGAGCAGACGCAAGTCAATACGAAGTGGGAATGCTTCCAAAAAGAGCTCAAGCAGAGCTTCATGAAAGAATGGTCGCGATACAGGGAGTACAGTTCGAAGTTGCAGGGCGACCAGGCCGACGCCGCCCAGCAGCAGACTGCGGCCATCGACGACCTGTACAAATTCCTGGCGAACCCGGCCCAGTTCAAGAGCGTCCAGGTGACGGAGGAGCCACCAAAGGAAGCGGTGGCGGAATGGGACCGTCTTATGAATGGAGCGGGTATGGAGGTCGAGGAAGGCCTGTCGGGGCTGCTTGCCGGTGCCTTGGGCACTGCTGGAGCCAAAGAACAGGCGGCACAGCACATGCTGGATGTCTTGGATGCCCACAGGCGTGGCCAAGACAGAACGCGAGAGAGAACACCCCCGAGACGGACCACGACAGTGCTGCAAATGACGCCACCGGCCACTACAGGACCTCAGCGAGCACCTCCTGTTCTCCCGGCCGATGTGAACCAGGCGAAGCCGGACACGATGATGAAGTCCAAGGAGGAGCCCTACATGGCCTCCCCAGGAGCCAACCACCTCATGCCATCGCCGGGGGCAAGGCCACGACATGCGACCCCTCGAACTCCCCTCAAGGCGCAAGGGAGGCAGCCTGTTACGGCTCCTGCCTCTGCCTCCACACTGGCGGCCAAGCTCGAAGCCAGTCGCGCAGCCCTCCGGCTCGAGGCAAATGTGGATGGAATGGACCAGGAGGAGAACGAGGAACTGATCCTCAGCAGTCTCCGTGCTGCAGGCGGCCTGCCAGAGCACATCGAGATCGACTAGCAGTGGGCAGGCCACCTGGTGAGGTGGCCAAGCCGACCTCAGGGAGGACTTCGCGCGGCGAGCTATCAACCTTTGAACATCAGAGCAGCGGCTCAATTGGCTCTGCAGGTTCACCACGACACAAGCACTACGATGGGGAGTACACCGCTATGATTGGTACCTCCACCTGCTCTATGAGGCTTTTTCGGTCTGTCCTCGAGCAGTCTTCCGCACAGTCTCTCGGCCACCCCCCTTTGTGGTTAGCGCCGAAAGAGGAGCGACGAGCACAAGACCCGCCATCTCCTCTCAATCCAATTTGTCAACGGCAACCTCAGCAGTCAACGTGTTCCTTTGGGACTGCCGGACACCGTTGCATCTTCGACATAATGGAATGGTTTCGGCTACTGTTATGGTCGAAGATCCCCCCCTTTCTACAGTGGTGGGGGAGCGAGGCCTCTTCCCTCTCCCTCCCCTTCTTCTTCCTTGTTGCCTTTGTCGAGGTGATCATTCTCTAGGCCCAGGTGGTGTGGTCCCGGCCCTTTGCCAAATTGCAACGAGGAAAAGTACGCACGACGACCTGGGTTTCTGTAATTGTGCCGCTGGCCTTGTGTGCCACCACTGTGGAAGCAGTTACCCCAGAAACGTCTCAGGGCCAACTGTGGTGGCCAGCAAGGATGCAACCACCAACAGACCTCGAGCTCTGGTGCAGTGGGCAGCTTACAGTGTCGGAACAGCTTGCTCTAGCTCTCCAACGGGCCATCGCGGAGAGCCCCCTGGAAAGTCAGGGCTTCTGGCCGGACCATTTGGGCAGTGACAGGCCAACGCAGTGGCCCATGGACCACCAACAGAGGGACATCCCCCAAGAGGAGCCGGACCCCTGGGTATTCGATGAAGAGGAGGAGGATACGACCCATATTTCATTCAGGCTCTTTTCGCCCCACTATGAGTCGGAGTCGATTGACATCTCCCTGACTTTCCCTCTGGTGGCTGAGGATGTCCTCGACTTCCTCAAGGACACGGCGCGGGTGATCTCCACTCCCTGGCTTACCACTGCAGCCTTCACACAACCACAGCTGAGTGATGACCATGGCAGTGTGGTCATTTTGCCCTGCTGGCTGCGTGCATCTCCGAAAACCATTTTGGTCATTGATGCGAGCGAAGTGAACCAAGGGCAGTTCGCCTTCTACCACCAAGGCAGCCTCACTAGAGCTGCTGTGTTGGCGCAACTTGAGGCGGCCCCCCCAAACGCGGTTGACATTTACGCGTTTGGCCGCCAGACTCCTCTTGCTGAGAACGAAGCCATCGAGCCGAGCCTCGCTGGCCTCCTACGCGTAGTACCGCGTGGGTCGCAGGCAAATTGGTCTTCGACCATTGAACCCAGGCTCACACTGAGGGCTAACTGGGACCCGGACAGACCACACCCTGATCATGTTGGTGGCTCCCACATCGCCTTTCAGACGGCCACGGACCAAAAGCTCCACAGGCTGGCAAGGGAAGATCGCTTCACGCCCTTAGCGGTTGCGAGTGAGATTTTCGACAGGGAGCAACAACAAATTTGGGTGCGGGCCCCGACCCATAGGCCGGTGGGACTCTACTGGAAAGGCAGGCGAGTCCACTCCATCATAGCGGTCGTCGACGCCTTTGAGCACCCGCCCATCGACTCCTATGTTGTGACCCTCGACCTCCGTGGCATTGGTCTGTGGCCGATCTGGATTGCCTTACAGCAAAACTGCTTCTTCCCGGGGGATGTTGTTGAGGCCCTGGACATACACTTCTGCCCAGGCTTCTCCTTGGTGGTCTCAGGAGGCAGAAAAGGGCGCACACCAGGGCTCCTTTACGTACAAGATGGAGATCTTCTTGAAGTTTCGCTGCGCTCAACGGCAGACCTCACGCCCACTCAACATGAAGGAGGTGAAAGTGAGGGTGATGATGAAGGGCACTCTGACGATTCAGGGTCCACACGGGACGCCCTTCCATCCTCGGACGAACTTCCAGATGCCCCAGGGCCCTTTGGACCCGGCCCTTTTGGCCCCCCGCCTCCACAGCCCGTAAACCGTGACCGAAGTCGGACACCGGAGCGAGGGCGCCGAACTACTGAGAGCTGCCCCTTGAAGATTTCTCTGAAGGAGCATCTGCCTGGTGGTGATCGGGTAGAGTACCACAGCCTATCTGCGCAGACCATTGTCCTTCCGCAGGAGCACTTCGACCCAAGGCTGATATACCGACCGTGGCCTCTTACGTGGTTGCAGTTTGATGTTTCGGCCCTTGACCTCCCTCGGTGCACCCAAGAAGCGCTGCATGACTTCTGGCCTTGGACCTACCTTGCCTCGCTTGAGAAGCCACCGAACACCCTCCACCTCCGGCTCTACACTGACGGTTCTTGGCTGGCGAAGGAAGCCCTCGGAGGTTTTGCTGTCGTGATCGTCGTGGAAATGCAGGACAAGAAAGCACTCTTCGGAGCGATTTGCTCCCAGACGCATGGAAACGAAGGGTCCCCTTGGCCCTCGCAAGGCCCGCCTGCCTTGCGAAATGAACAGTTCGCGATTGCAGCTGCTATGCTCTGGGTCTTCCAATCTCTGCCGTGGCTTGCGTTTGAGACCATCACCTTCTGCTTCGATTGTATGGCTGCCGGTTTCGCTGCCAGCGGAGAGTGGGCGCCGGACTGTGAAATGATGCAGCGCATACGAAATCTGCATCTTTGGCTAGCTCAGGTGACAGGGGCAAAGCTTGCGTTCGAGCATGTCAAGGCGCACAACAACCACCCTATGAATGAACTAGCCGATTGCATTGCTAAGGCTGCAGCTGCCGGCAACCTCAAAGGTCTCCAGCCCCCAGTTGAGAACGTGACCTTCATCCTAGAGAATGACCTTTCATGGATCGCTCCGGTGCTTGATCCGGGTCAACAAGAGGCTCTACCTCTCCTGCAAAGTGATAAACTTCGGTGGGAACCAGATGAAGCCTTTTCTCCTTTCAAGTTGCGGCCTGAACAACTCGTGCCCACGGCGACCAAGCAAATTGGCCGGCAAGCCACAGCTACCACCGAAATCGACATTGTGGCCATTACCCTGAATGCACAGGGATTACAAGCCAAATGTCCCTACCTCGAGGCGCAATTTGTCGAGGCTGCTGGCCACATCATCTTCCTTCAGGAAACCAAAATGCCTGTTGGAGTGTGTACCTCAAGAACATTTTTGCGTTTGGGGACCGACTCCCACAAGCACTGGGGAGTCGGGATTTGGGTGAGTCGGACCCTTGGCCTCTTCACCACTGAGGGCAGAGCCGTGCGCATTGACGAGCAGGACGTCTATGTTGTCAAGGAGTCCCCGAGGATGCTTGTCGTCGAAATTGCGGTTGCGGGCCTCCGTGTTGTGCTCTTTTCGGCACACTGCCCACACTCGGGACAACGTGCAGCCGCTGCCGAATTCCTCAAGGACCTACATGACACGCTTGCCCCGCTGCGGGGTGCGCATGTGCTCCTTGGCGGTCTGGACTTAAATGGCAGACCACCAGGCTCATACGAGCAAGTCACCGGGGATCTCGACTTTGGCGCCCCAGACGACACTGGCAAAGAGGCAGCTGCCGCCTTCCATTCCCTCGGTTTATGGATGCCTTCCACCTTCTCACAGTTCCACACTGGGGAATCACACACATTCAGGCATCCACAAGGGCAACTTCACCGCCTAGACTTTGTGGTCCAGGGAGGCAAACTCGAGGTCCATGAGGTTGGCAGCCGAGTCCTCTACGAGCTTGATGCAGGTGGCAGCTCTGATGACCATTGGGCCGCCAGAGCAGCCTTCACAGGGAGCATCCCCCAAGCGGGACACCAGACCCGCCTTTGGCGGCCAAAATACGACCTCGGCAAGCTGAGCAGTGTAAAGGGAAAAGCCAAAGTCGCTGAGGCTATGAAAGCATACAGCCCTCCGCCTTGGAATGTACATCCTGATGCGCATTGCCAGCATTTCACTGAGTACGTGCAGGACCTCCTCGAGTCGCACTTCACCAAACCGACGGATGCACCGCGAGCTGACTACATCCCCGAGGAAATCTGGGACCTTAGGCAGGCCAAACTAGCCTTGAAGCTACGAACGAGGAGTAGATCCAACTTGTGGAGCAGTCTCCTTCGTCGCGCTTTCCTTCAATGGGGTCGCGGCATCAACATGGGGCTCGACCAGCTTCTCCGCAAACAGGGGCTCCTCTACCAGATCACCTCCGCGGCCATTGCCTTTGCCACCTCGCTGATCAAGAAGGGCATCCGGGTCGCCAAGGCAAACTACCTGAAGAAGTATGCAGCCAGTGGAGGGTCGCACCCAGCCGACATCCTCCACCACCTCAAAACGGCAGGCCTGGGCGGCAAGAAGGCTCGACAGGCCCATCGCCAGCTCCCACTCCTTTTGGATACTTCTGGAAGACCTGTGAAGACTCGGAGGGATCGGGACCTCCTTTGGCTCTGCCACTTTGGCAAACAAGAGCTTGGTCAGGTCGAGGCTGTTGACAAATTCCTGGAGCGTGAGCACACCCCCGTCTTTGTCGATCAAGATCTACAATGGCGTGTGGACGACCTACCGAGCCTTGCCGAGATCGAGGCGGCCATTCGGCTTGCCCCAAGAGGTCGTGCGGCAGGACTCGACGGAATCCCAGCAGAAGTACTGAAGGCGGCACCCGGCCCGATGTCGGCTGCTCTGCAGCCACTTTTCACCAAAGCCTCCTTGAGATTGCGCCAACCCCTCCAGTGGCGAGGCGGCATATTATTCGAATGCTGGAAGCAAAGTGGCAAGCGCTCTGACCCAGCTTCCCACCGAAGCTTGTTTGTCAGCTCTGTGGTGGGGAAGTGCTACCACAAGTTGACAAGGAGGAAGATTCAGGGATGTGTCAATGCCGGCCTCCACGAATTCCACCTTGGGGCGAGGAAGGGACAACCGGTGCTCTACCCGGCTGCCTACATCCTCTCCTTCCTCCGGAGAGCTGAATCCAGAAGTTTGTCGGTCGGAGTCTTCTTCTTGGATGCAGAAGCTGCATATTATAAGATATGCAGAGAACTGGCCACAGGTACCATCGTCGACGATACCACCGTCGTGGCCATCCTTGAGCGCTTCAGGATCCCGCCTGACGACCTCCACATGCTGATGAAGGAGATCTCGGAAGGAGGGATGATGGCGGACCTTGGAGTCCCGCCAACGGTCCGGCACATGGCCAAAGACCTTCATGCGAACACTTGGTTCGTATCCCCGCATGGGGACGGAGGCCTGCTCTCACGCACCAGTGCGGGGAGTAGGCCGGGGGAAAGCTGGGCAGACGCAATCTTCAGCTTCGTATTTGGCCGAGTCCTGGCCCGCATCACGGAAGTGGCGTCAGGAGAACAACTGCTTGACACCATCAATGCGGATGCCTCCGAAGGACCCTTTTCGACCCCGGGCAATGGCGAGGAAGCATGTGCGAGTGATGCCACTTGGGCTGACGACAGTTCGTGGGCACTGACGGACAGGACACCAGGGAGGCTCATGGCAAAGGCGACGCGGCTGTGCTCAGTCATCCTTAGCCAGTGCCAAAGCTACGGCCTTGTCCCGAACTTGAAGCCTGGGAAAACGGCGTTGCTACTCAGGCTCTTGGGACGGGGAGCCAAAGGTGTGCAGAGCACCTACTTTGCACATGGACGCCGAACAGTCCGCCTACACGATGTCGACCTCGAGGTGCCAGTCACGAACCACTACAAGCACCTTGGAGGTGTGGTCGAAGCTCGAGGATATGGGGGATGCGAGGCCAAGCGGAGGCTGGCCATTGCGGCGGCCGCTTTTGACAAAGGCAAGGACCTCATCTACCTCAACACAACCATTCCTCTACCGGTGCGCTCTGCCATCCTACAGGTAGCCGTGACCTCCACAATGCACAATATTGCACTGTGGACACCGGAGGGCCCCCAGTGGGCCAAGCTATGTGGAGGTTATGCGCGATTGGTGCGACGGCTTTTGATGAAGGATGTGGATCCGGAGTCCCTCCTCCACATACCGGCTGTTTTCGCACATGTCGCGGCAGAATGCCCGCAGCTGCAGCTAGTTGCGAGAAAGGCAAGGCTGTCGTTGATAGCCTCCATGGCAAAGACTGCCCCTTTGGCTCTGTGGGCAGCGCTGCAAGAGGAGGAAAGCTGGCTTCGTACTGTTGCTGCCGACCTTGCTTGGCTACGACAGGGAGCAGAGGACAGCTGGCCACCGCTCGGCCCGGCTCATTGGCTGCAGTGGAGGAACATCCTCCGCGACTCCACGGCATGGTACAAGCGGCAGGTCGCGGCGAAGACTAAAGGTGCTTCCATGGCCTACTACAAGGCGCAAAGGGTCGCCCTCTCGTTGTGGGCTATCTATCGGAAGGCCTGCGAGTGGTTGCCCGAGGAGCACTCCGTTGTCACGCAGTTTGTTTGTCGACCCTGCGCCAAGACTTTCCGTACCAAAGGGGCGCTTGGTGCGCATTTCATGAAAACGCACGGAAGATGTGCCAAGTACAGAGCTGTTGTGCACGGATCTATCTGCCGCTCTTGTGGAGTCCAGTACTGGACGGTCGGCCGTTTGGCACGACATCTCCGAGATGCGCCCTGGTGCGTGTCCACCCTACGGGCCACTGGAGTGACTACTGCTGCCTTGGCCCCTGGCACTGGCAGCCGCTTCCGAAGAAAGGCTGAGCAGGACGATTACCATCCCGCGCCGCCCATCCAGGTTGCACAACCGACATCCCCAAAGGATGGAAATGACTGGGATGATGTCCAGAAGGAGGCCCACTTTGCCCTCAGCCAGGCCCTGCAGGAGGAAGACCTTCCGACTACCCCTGCTGAGGCCCTCGACCTCATCCAGGCTGTGCTTGCAAAGTTCCCGCTCTACTTTGAGGAGGCGAGAGCGGTCGTTTTTGAGATCTCGTCTGAGATTGTCTTGATTGAGACTGACCTACTGCAGGAATATTGGACCCCTGCGGTGTGCCATGCCTTCAAGACGGCGATCGACACCTTCCTCACGTCCGAGTGGGCAACGGGGCCTGAAGTTGAAGGTCCAAGGGTGCCACCTGTCACCTTTGAGACAACAACGGGTGAGACCGATGGGTTTGATTGGGCCGAGCTCACTCGCAAGCTTGGCAATCCGCACGGGACCCAGCGAGCTTCAGCATGGACACTGCCTTCTGACTGGGAAGCCGATTGGTCAAAACGCAGTGCTGAAGTAAGTTCTTCGGCCGTGCACAGACGTCTGTGGAGTTGGATCCCAAGGGTCCTGCAGTTGGCTTGGGAGCACTTCCTTTCTGGAGGGACTGTACAGCTCTCAGCCCCTAGTGACTTCTGGGACAGCCCACTCGCGGAGCCTTTTGTGAGCTTCCGCGCTGATTTGCACTTTAATTAGGCTGCGTACGACCACTGAATGCCTGCAAAGCAAAACTATAGGGGTCTTATTACTGGGTTTTGCTTTTTATAGGAAGGGTATCGCTATGTATTCGTATTTCAATTGGGTGCCTGCCAGATTCGCGACATGCCAACGACTCTAAATGTGCCAAAATGCGTTGAGAGCCCTTGTTTAACAGTGGCCTTCAGTCTGCGTCTGCAATGCTCCGAGATGGTAGCTACCTGAACCCCACCCAAAGTAACCCAAAGTATGCAAATAATGGCCGAATACCCATAAAAGGCTATAACTCGACATACTTTTGGGATCCAGGTACGGTCGAGGCAGAGTCTCTCTTGGGTGGAAGCTGCATGTCATGGTAAGAATGTAGGCTCTATCCTACAAGAACCCCATCAACCCTGATACGGTTATATAATGGTAAAAACCCATAGGGAATATACCATAATTCCCATAGTTTAGGGTCCTTAAGCTAATGCAGGATTTATATCATCAACTGTCAACAGTGCTGATACCTCTTGCCATGAATCCCAGGAGTGCTCCGGATCCGAAGCCCAAGCCCGAAAATCCCAGGAACCCTCACATCTTTCGCGCTTCCTCGGCTACGAACACGCGAAGGTATATCTCTGACGGCACACGTCAATCATGGGACCGGCCAGGCAGCGGCTTCGGGCTAAAGCATAGAAGATATAAATAGGAGTTTCGGAGCACACACAACTATGAACTCCTAGCACGGAAACTGAATAGCTTTGGGTTTAAGGTTTCGGGTTTACATTCTCATGAGGCTCGGTAGAACCTTGTGCGTTCATTACCTGGATCTGTCCAGCTTGGGGTGTGGGGCTTGTGGCCCTTCACCCTTGTTTGACTTTGTGCAAAAAGACTTTTCTGTAAATATCGAACTTTGTATGTGAACAAATGTATATGTATGTAGAGTATCTGTACATGTACATGTATATATATATATATATGTATATATACATATACACGTTTACATACATGTGCACATTTATTATATGAGAGCACCAAAGCCACGGGCAACTTCAGCGTCCCGGCACTTTGCGATTCATCGGGCGTAGCTCAGGAGCTACTGGAGGACCCGGCCTCTTGGTCGTTTTGTTGCAAGTTTTGCGGGCGTGGGGGATGAGGGTTCACCCCTAGGCCCCAAAGTAGTTCCTTTTTGGGACTACCTTATAGGATTCTATATATGAACCCCCAAAAAGGACCTACTTGGGGGATTAGGGTTCAGGATGATGCGGCCGAGATAAGATTGAAAATTATAAACACTTTTCTACATTGGAGATGCGAGTCTTCGGGGGAGAGGGATTCCAGGGTGCAAGGAGCAAGGCATTGTATTCGGACATCGAGAGTCTTTTTGAAGGGCAGACTGGGCAGGAAAAGTTGGGTTTAAAGTGCTTGAGTGCGCAGCCGAATACCCCTAATGAGACAATGAAAGCGTCAAAAGGGAATAGTGTAGCAAACACGCCGGCAAAATACGGGCTTGGTCGGATATGTTGCGTATTTAGTGCACGGATTGACAGTCGCTTTCCAATGTTTGTCAGACACATAGCAATATATGACTAAGTACGACTGAGGCTCCTATGGATACGATCTGCAAACGATCAGAGTGCAAATCTCCCAAACCCTAAACCTATACCGTAAACTCTCACCCTAAACCCTAAGCCCAAACCCCGGCCTTCATCGCCAACAGACCCTTGAGATGGTCTCGCCTGAAAACGTCTTTTGAAGAGACGGTTTACAACAACACTGTGGGTGTGGAGTCCAACGTGTGGAAACCAATGTTCCCCATGGGTCCATGTACCCAAATACTATATACTTTGGCCTTAAAGTCGTCGCTACATAGGTAAGGTAGTGCCGAAGTCTATACTGTACATGGACCCTCTGGGCTATGTGGTAGAGCGGTTCAAGTTGACTGGGAAGCTTGGGTTTGGCAGAGTTTGGAGGCTCTGAATGTGAAGCTTGAAAGGTACCTTCGACTCTAAAGCTTGTCTTAGCTGAGGGTCGAGGGCTTCTCTCGGTTCGGTTCTGTGTCGGGACGTCATGATGTTTACGGTTTTCGCATGATTCAAAACTCGAGGTCCAGCTTTGGGAGGCGGTTTGCAACTTGGGACGTGAACATGGGGCTCAGGGTCATTTAGTGTGTCGGATGTCAGGGTTCAGGATATTGGAAGCAAGTTGGTTCAGATTTAGTTGGTTCAGGATTCAGGATTGGCTCTCCAGGCGCCCGGGGAAGTGTCTAGGAATGAATTCAAGGGCATGGCGAAGTCGCCCAGCTGAGCACGAACACCGCACGGACTGAATTGACGGCGCCAATGCCAACTAGAATGGATAATCAAAATTAAAGCATGACACTCCATAACTTTTCCTGCTACATTACACTTTAAAAGGATACAGGACGAGGCTTTGGCCGAAATGCGAAATGCTTCCCGGTGCATTCTGAACTTTCAGCTAAAGTAGCGTCGCGCAGACGACATCCCAGGCCTCTAGTCAAGGCTATATAGGCCACCATGCAGAAAATTGTTCAGTGCATCGACAGTTTGCTGCGTATCTTCGTCTTCCAAGTCATTCTGCGATGTTGGATCAGAGGAGCACTAGCAAGTCCTGTTCCTCCAGGTATGGACCTGTGTTTTCAAGAACGAAGGACAGAGGCTGTCACGAAGTCCATAATTACCTGCAGTGGTTGGATGTTCAGCAATATGGATTGGTTCGGTATGACAACAAGCATAAAGACAGAGACACACAAAGCAGTTAAATCCTGACCTACCAAGATAAACATTTTGTTGACCCTGCGGCATGTGTCGATCAAACTTAGACGTCCGGAATCTCAGGATCAGGCGTAGGCTCGAAGCCCCAAATCTTTTTCAAGTCGGGCACCATAACCTGCAACCACGATGCGATGTGTCATAGAGAAAGCTCTCTCAATCCGTAACGATGCTGTAGCCAGGCATTCTGACGTTGTCGCCCCTCAACTGTTCACGAAATGGTCAGCAACGAAAGGCGCAGCTTCAATGTTTGCGGCGCATTGGGGTGCACAGATTCCGACAAAAAATAGTTGTGCCATGGATTGCTTCCGTGACCTACAGTGAAGCAAGACCCCAACAATGCATGAATTTGCAGACTGATCCTGAAACCCTGACCCTAGACGGAAACTCCATTTGCCAACCCCAAGCCCACCTACAAGCCCCATAAACGTCCCATCATGCCTCTAAGCCCTCTAAGCCACGTAACATAGGGGCCTTTGTAGTTAGAACTAGGGGTTTGGGGCCTCTTATACTATGACTATAATAAGGAACCCCCAACTAGTAATGGAAACTAATCATTAAAGCCCCTGTAGTAAACCCAAAACTAATCTCGCAGCCCTGGCCTGAGCCATCTGAATGAGAGCCGGATTGCTCTCGTGAGCGGCCGTCCTCTGCGAAGACTGGAGATGCAATCGGCCCGCTGATTTCTCAAAATTAGGGCCACCTCATGGAGGGGCCTGTACGGGTTTAAGCTCTACCCTTACCCTTACATTCTAAAAACTGTCTTTCATGCGGAGCTTCCATCTCAAATGCCGAAGTGCATGATCGCGTTTCTTCGCGCTCTTCTTTCGGCTCCCTTGTTGGTATTTGGGGCCAGATCAGAGGCTAAAGAAGCGGCGAAAGACGAGAAATTGCAATTCCTTCGATATCTTTCATAAAATTCTTGGGCTGGCTCCAACTTTGCAGAAGATCAAACACTTGTTGCTGCAGCGCTCCCCGTGTCTTCTTGATACTGTCTGTCCTCAACCCTAAACATGGGACGTGCCGATTTCGGTGCAGTGTGCGCCTTTTGCTGTTTATGGCTTTTGGGGGCTTGGGCGTGTAAAGCTAGGGTTCCGCATGACACACGTCAATGTCTTGTGCTGGCAAACTCCTCGGTCTAGCAGTTTACACCACAAGGAGAAAGGCCGAGCCGTGAGCGTCAGCATCTGCCGCAGCAGTGTTGATGCCTTGCAATCATATTAGCTGTCTAAATAAAGAGCCCACAGCAATTTTCGCTTGACAACCGTACTCAGATTTCGCTCGGCTTTGGATTTTCAGCATGGCTTTGGCATGCAAAGCGTGACTCCGCCCCACCAGCTTCATTCCAACAACGCTTCTTACGCGATCCCGACAGCTCAAAACAGCCCTTGAACTCCTAGACCTAACACAGCTTAGCGGATTAATGCAGATACGCCAGAAGAAGCATCGTCCTAACTTGGACTTGAACTCTGTGTGCAGATGCTAAAGCTGAGCCCTCAAAACTAGACGCCATTGATCATCAAGGCACATCCTAAGTTCTAAGCTCGGTTTCTTCGCCGGAGGATGGAGTTAAACTGAATTATAAAGGTTTCCATTTATCGAAGCCATGTTGCGGGCTTGGTTATGAAAACTACTGTCAAGCTCGCCAATCATTGTGTAGTTTATAGGTTCTTAGGGTTGAAGGGTGTGGGCACGGGATGAAGTTGCTTTAGGAGTTCACTGTTCATATCTGTTCATGTAGCAAGCTCTGCGATCCGCGTGCATGCCTGCCTGTCTTTTAAGATGAATGTCCGGAACCCTTATCATATGACATCCCGACCTCCGAGGCCACAACTCTTTGGACCCCTTTAGCAATCATTAAGATGGATTCCTGCATATCAATGTGCAGCCAGAAACCACCCTGCACCGTTTGCTCAAGGAATGCTTTGCGCATCTACGACTCCCTGGCTGCCAAAACCTTCACCCGAAGCACTACAGCACACGACAATAATCGCAGCTATTCATGTGTGTATATATAATATACATATATTTTCTGTATTATACAGAAAATATATACATATGTATGTATGTATGTATGTATGTATGTATGTATGTATGTACATGTGTACATAGTGCATATATAAATACAAACAGACACTCATATATGTTTTTGTTCATGCACTCACTTATTTACTTGTTTAACATACCCACATACTTTTATTCCGGACTTGATTTGCAGGGTGCGACTGGCATATCTGCAAAGCGATTACAGTTCAGCGTCGTTCCTTTACATCCTGAAGCATTACTGTAAGCTTTGTGAAACAATCTTCTGGCATTCGCTCCAACATCGGCTGTGGTTTAACCAGGCATTCCCCGCCTGTCGCACATTGACATCCTGGCGCAGAAGCATGCTGTAGCCAGTTCCGACATGGAATTACGGATGCTATGGGTTGTGTCCTGATTTTCATACAGCTTTTCGTTGTGCCAACCTACCTAGGCACCGCACTGCAAGCCATCATTAGGGTCACTCCGGGGACTCCGGGGATGTCGAAAGCCCTTCTTCCAGGTTTGCAATCCAGCTCTGCAACCCAAAATACGCCCGACAAATCCCAAACCTTGGGCACACAAGCACCTTGGAAACAGCAACAGACGTGGTAATGGTTGTCCAGACAGATCCATCAAGAACATGATGGAGACGGGAACAAGCTTATACAGAGTTACATACACCTGCATACATGCGGACACGCATACATAGACACGTACATACACACCTATATGTAAGATGATGTAGGTATGGATACGTATGGGTGGTTGTCAAAGTTGTGGTCCCTTTTTGGGTACCCTAAATAATAGGTGCCGTATTATAACAGGGACCCAAAAAGGGACCATAATTTTGACAAACACCCGTATACACGTGGACAGGCTCCACATAACTCCGCCGGCACGTGCAGCCGTCCAGCTTACCGTTGGTTAGCAGGGAATGGAAGAATGGTAGTAATAGTAGTTATAACTATACCCCATTCCTCCATTCCCTACTGTAATTCCTTAAATCATATTAGGGATCCTACTATAATTTAAGGTATATTCCTTCATTAAGGGGTTTTGGAGTCTCTGGGAGGCCTCGGAGAAGTCGGTCTCCCGGGCCAGCTGCTCTTCCAGAGCGGCCATGGCACGCCAGGCCTCCGTCGGTTCGGGTGTCGGAGTTCCCGGGTTTATGGGGCTTTAGAGGCCTTTTTTTTTGGGAGGGGGGGGGGGTTAGGGCTTAGGGTATGGTTTTGGTTCTCCGCCTTTGGGGGTGTGTGAGGGGGGGGATTTAGAGTTTAGGGTTTAGGGCCGGGCTAGGGTGGTTTAGGGTTTAGGGTTTAGGGGGGGGGGTGCTGGCATGTGGAATCGTGGATTTGGGGTGCGTAAGGTGGGAGCCGAGGGTCTTTGGCGGTGGCGGTAGCTGCTCGGCCCTCGACGTTTTGCTTTTGGAGCACTTGTTAGTCCCTATGTTTCCGAGAGCTCACCCCGCATTAAACTCCATGATAAGGACCGGAGGTTGGGGGAAAGACAACATCTAAACCCAAACACGGAGGCCAACCACTAGTACCAGCTGAAGGCTAGGATCTTGTTCACCGCAAGTTTTGCAGAGGGCGTAAAAAAGTCTAGGTTTCTGCCATATACGAATAGAATCGTTACAATTTGCGTTGTATTTTTTGCTAGGCTAAGCTGTCAGACCCCCGGAACCATAGTTCCCATATTACCGGCGCCTCGGCTGGAGATATCTCTTCTGCACCTGGCAGTTGGAGTTGCATTCTCCCTAAGGGCCCATGTACCCAAATAGTATATACGTTGGCCCCAAAGTACCTATACAGGAACTACATGAAGGCCAAAGTATCTACTATTCGGGTACGTGGACCCTTAGGGTCTACTGGGATATACGCTGCAGGTTACACTGAGGACTTGGGGTAGGTATGTTTTTAAGGTCCAGGGTCGCAGCTCGCAATCATATGCTCAGGCTGTCTTATCTATAGAGGGATGCTACTTATCGCTCAAGGGCTGCATGTGGGGGGATGGATGAATCATTGTATTGGTAGAAGGGCGAGGCAGAAGGTGCTGTTCGGCTACTGACACGTTAGCTCTCTCGCCTTCTGAAGCCCTTAAAACTCAGACATGAACTCGCACCACCCAAATTCAAACCTGTTGAATCCAATTCCGAATGCGCAAACTCTGAACCTTGGAACCGAAAACTGGGATCGTCGAACATGTGCCGGCTCTTAGCATTGCAAAACCCTTTCAAGACCCCGTGGAAAGACTCCTTGAGATCCACATACAGGCCCGAAACATGACCTTGGAGGACCCCGAAACCCCAAACCCTAAACCCAGAACCCAACCCTAAACCTAAAACCCTAAACCGTAAACCCTCATAAACCCTCCAAACTCAAAACCCTAAACCATAAACCCAAAACCCCTGTAAACCCAAACTCTACACCCTAAACCTCAAACTTGAAGAGCTTTGTGCCAACCATCGGGGGGAAGCCTTCAGTCTCGGCACCCTGACCCCCTGGGCCGGTGAAAAATCTGTCGACTTTTCCGTTTTAGGGATATTTGGGAAGTTCAGCCCTGTGGATGAAGTTTAAGGACTGGGTGAGTTTTAGGGATTTTTGGTCGAGTTATGTCGAGTTGTAGGGATCTAGGGATCTACGTATGGAATTTTAGTGAAAGGCGGGAAGTTCGGGTGGAATTTTCAGGATTTGGGAGCACTACGGAGCAAGGGGCTTGTAGGGGTTCCGGGTGTCGGGGTTTGGAGTTCAGGGACCCGGGGTGTATGTATCAGTGTATGGGGTTCAGGGATCCGGTGTGAAGATTACCCGCAGCCCTGAACCCTGCAATCACTTCTGAAATATGGGGTACAGTAGAAGCCCAACAGTTGGAAACCCCAGCACTATTTGGCCTTACTCCGGTTTCCAACTTTATGGGGTTTACCCTACAGTAAACCCTAAACCCTTTATAGAACCCTTACAGATCCCTTTAAGGAACCCTTAAAGGCTACCCTTTAAAGGAAGCCTAAGGTGCCCCCTTTATGCGGTTTACTCTAGACGCCCCAAGGACTTAACTGGAGCCGCTCCCAGGCTCCCAAGCTATCACGAGCTGCCACAAAACAAAAACAAACAGTGGCTCAATATGATAGTAAGTTCTTCTTCGGCGGACTTTGGGGCCCCGAGGGGCGCGTCCATATAGTAAGTTCTAGTATATACTATTGTACAGTACAGCATATTGCATAGTGTGTGATACCTAGCATATTGTCGTAGATGTTGTCTCAAATCGCCATCGAAGAGCGAAGACCCGAAACCCTATAGTAACTAGCCCTCCAAGGTCAGGTCTGGGGCTTAAGGTAGCATTTGAGGCTTCAGTGAGACTCCGATATCCCGAAAGACCCAAAGAGGATACCCTGACACTGAGAGTTCTACTCCCTCAGCCAGTGGGGATGGGGAAACGCACGGGCAATCGACAGCAATCTCCAACAGCTGGCTGAAACATCATCCCGAATTAGCCTGACGACTGCTCTGTCATATTAAAAACTCAGAAATGCAAACCACTTAAACATTGACATTTTGAACAGTACTAGGCGAGATCCAGAAATTCAGCTGCAACTCGGGCTGGAACCCATCAGCGCCGAGACGTTGCAACCGGCCGCCTCAGCCGCAGCCATGACCTCAGAAAGCTTGGGCTGGCGAAGGGCATATGTATAGTCTTCGGGATTTAAGGCTTTATCTATAGCACGAAACTCTACAAAATAGTAGGTCACGACCCCCGTTGGTAACAGAATATACCTACACGAGTAGTTGGAGCGACAGGTTTCGGTGTGCTTAACTACTTCTTGCAGTACCACTTTGCAATACTCATTCTCGACACCAGAACTCCAACACGGGACAACCTAAGCATTTTAGACCATCCCGAGACCCCTTAAAGCACGAAATCCAACAGCCCTGAACAGCTTTTGCAAAATCTATCAACAACTAAGAGCCCCATAATTACCGCTACTGTAATACAATTTACTACTGTAGTATACTCTCATATAACATACCACCTCAATCCCAAAAGATGGCGATTCGAGGCCGGGGCTGCGTTGCCAGTTTCAGCCTTGCGGGAAAGGCTTTCGGGCGTTGGGCCGTTTTGTCACTGCTTTTGCGGCTTTGAAAAAGGCTTTGAGGGGCCTTTGAGGTTCCAGCTCGCGTTGAACCTGCAATTATTGTACCTTTGGTTTTCATCTACTTGGATCCGAAGCCGTTCGCTCTGTAAGGTTTCATGCAGGACAGGATCCGGCGCACATGATCTGACATTCTAACGACAGTGTACATATGGGTGCAAGGATAATACACAGACACGCATGTACAGACCCTAGTTAGCTGATCTTATACTCGCTTGTAGGTGTTTTGCAGTGGATAAGCTCGAAAGTCAAGGACCTGTGAGGTATGATGGCGGACTTTATGATTTGACTTCTCAGCTGTTGAGTTTAGGAGCCTTTGTGTGTGGATTTGGCGTATATTACCGCAGAAAAATGGAACCCGATAAAAAGCTTTTGGTGTCCTAACCCCAGTGTGCCTGGGCTGCACCAGCGGCTGTGGCCAATGCTTCCGGGCTCATCGCGCCTCGGCCAAACCGCCGTCCCTACTTGGAGGGTCGGTGGACCTAGTAAGTAGGTAGTAGGCAGACATAGAAGTACCCTAAACGGGATCCTAATTGGGGTTATGGTACTTCTAATTCAGTGAAAAAAAATAGCTACTTGCTAAGTCCCCCGATACTCCAAGCAGAGTTAACACTCAAACGAAAGGGCTTGTGCGACCGATACAAACCACGCGCACGCTTCACTCACCCATGCCACTGGTTCCCCCACGGACATGATAGAGGCGCTTGAAAAACTAGAATAAGGCCTTAGGATGCCTTAGGCTTGTCTACGCCATAGCTAAACTATACAGCTGCTGTATAATTTCTGCGCAAGAGCCGGGTGCGGGATCAGGCCTCGAGGTGCTGCCGGAACCAAACATACTATGCCAAACCGCAGTGAGATGCGCAAAACCCCCAAGCTTTCCTCACTGTGTAGGCTGTAGGCACAGGCGGTTCTTTTAACACATGGTGAATTGCCTAGCTTCCTCGAGCTTTGTGCACCATGCCTCCTCTTTGGGAGGATGTCTCCTGGTGTTTGTTTAAAGCTTAGGAATGGTCCAAAGTTCGTCGCCAACTTCGATACCCTTGGGGGGTGGCTTCAGCTTCTTAGCTATCAGGGGGAGAGCACTGCATGTGGAAGACTTTCTGTGGGCTGCAATCCCGCCGCAACCGAAGATACGACAACAAGAAACTACCACCGCTGTTCCTGCTACCGTCTCAGCGATGCTGGCACTTGAACTGCTGCTACTGGTACAGCTCTGCAACACTTTCTGGTTCTTAACCTTGCATGCTTCGTGGTGAAAAGTCGCTAGTCGAGGATCTGAAATGACTCGATGGCTGAACATCTGCGTTGCAGTCTCTGATTAACGTGCCAGGGATGGAAGCCATATTAGGAGAATCTTTCAAAGCTTAGAATACGTCAGGCTGCCAGCGAAACGACTGCAGCAACGACATTGAAAGTTGAGACCCTGAGTCAAGGCCTTGTGCGGGTTTAGGACCTGAACTGAAGGAAAAGTAGGGCAGGGATCTACTGTCGCGGGAGGGAGGATGATGTAACCTCGGGGATCATTGACAAGACTTAGACATGTCAGTAGAGGACAAACATACCATCTTTAGATCATCGGCCTGTGCGCAAACACATGCACACATCGGCGGCCCATATTGCATTGGTCTGTACATAGCCGCAGGGCACCGTGGCGTGTCGATCGACCGCCGGTCTGCAGCCGTGCAGCAGCGCGAGTATGGGAACTGAAGCTTCCGTTTCAAGAAGCTTCCACTGCAACCAATCCGATTATGCCAGTGCTTCTCGAATTGAATCGGCATAGTGAACCGATGCGAACCTCACAGATCAGGCATTACAAGGGACCTCTCCCAACTACCCCAGCCCAAGCAGGGAAGGAATCGATCCGAAAGCAATGGCGGTCAGCCCCATCAACGACAAATTAACATGACAACAGCTGGGTCCTTGAAGGATCATAGGACTTAGTAATTCCGGTTATATATGTAAGGTAACTACACCTATAAGTACATGTAACCTTAATTAAAGTACTTCTAACCCTGCTTACTAAGTCCCATGATCCTCCATGTAGCCTTCGGCCGTCTAGGAGAACACAACTGCAGCCTTTGAGTTTAGATAGCGTTGGTCCTAGATGCACTCCGTTCGGTAAAGCCGAGCCAACAACCCGGAACTCCTGCGTCCCTAAAAGCGTGTGGCAGATCATCTATAATTCCCTTATACTAGTTTGTTATATTATGGTAATTCCCCGAGCGGCTTGCAGGGTTCGAGCAGGATGCACTGCCTTTCGGTTCAGGACTATCGAAAGAGAACCAGCCGCCGAAAGACCCAAGCCCGATTGCCACACGAAGCCGTAAATCAGAAGTCCCCACGACACCCGAACGACGAACGAAGAGACAAACACATTAACTAAATCTTCTGCCAAGAAGCACAAGAGCAAATGTCACGGCCGTCGAGCACTGAGAGAAGGAATGGATGGCTTGCGCTGATAACTCTATAGAGCTTGAATCTAGATTCGAAAGATGATGACGCCATGCGGAGAACAATAAGAGAACATTGATGTTGCTGACAACAGCATGATGCCGACGATGGTGGTGATGGTGCCGAAGATGTGGAAAGTAGTGTCGATGGTGCTGCTACTGATCAGTAATTAACAAGATTTGCGAACCCTTTCCCTACCTCTTGCTTCAACTGCTTCTGCTAGTGTCACTACTGCTGCTGCTATCGATTTAGCCACACTGTGATGACGACGGTCAACGGGTGACGGTCTCGAGACATGCTCTCGCCCTAAATCTCCTCTTAACCCAGTATGCAACGGGGTACCACAAGTACAAATATGATACTAACTCGCGGAAAGTCGTCCAGAGTCACCAGAGCCTGAACAGAAGACAAGGCGCAAGCCTAGTGTTGTGTTCAGGAGGTGCAAACCCTGTAGGCTTCGGGGCTACGGCTTCTAGGAGCTGGGGTTTTGGGTGTTGGGAAGCTCGCGCTTCCCCTGTCGTCATCTGTCGTCTGTGGGGAGAACCACTGCCGGCCAGGCGACGCTTTGCAGTGACAGATGTGTGGGTTCAGACCGCTTTCTGGCAGATTAGTATAAACCCTGCAAGTTCGATTTCAATCCCGGAACCCTCACACGCTTCAGAGCCTGAACCGTTAACCCGAGGGCCTTACGGCCTACGACCGCTGGCTTCTGCGACTCGACAAGTCTAGAAGCCCCCTACACGATGCCGAGGCACTGTCATCATGCCAATGCATTCTGGCACATTCGTCGTGAATTTCACTGCAGCATAAAGGATGCTGAAAACCTGATGGGAGCTGCGCTGGAAATCAAGTTCTATACACAGTTGGAGGGCGGCTCGTTCGAACTCTGTTTCTCTCACTCTCTATCCCTTCCATCTGCCTGTCCGGACAATGCACAGTCACGCATAGATGTGCATGTGTGTAGACATACATATGAAACTCTCTCTCTCTCTCTCTCTCTCTCTCTCTCTCTCTCTCTCTCTCTCTATATATATATATAACATAAATGGGTTAATGCGCGACTGCGGCTATGTACGTCTGTGTGAGCCGCATGCGCGTAGCAGATGTAGCATTTTGTATACACCTGTATATGTAGTTGTTGTACATACACATACATGTACGTATGCATGTACATGTACATGTGGCTATGTACAGGCATATAAGCATTTGTGTGTGTGTGTAGTATGTACATATACAGTACGCAGTTGTGTGCGTGTGGGTGTAGGCAGGTATATGCATGTATATCATATGTCTGTTTCTATATGTACGTATAGGTGTGTAATTATGCGTAAGTGCGTGTGCGTGTATTATAAAGAAACGAACACCTCTGCACTGGTGTGGGTATGCGCATGTACAACTATGTACATATCTGTGTACATGTGTGTACATGGGCATGCATGCTTGCATGCATACATGCATATGATGAGTGTGTGTGCGTGTGCGTGCGCGACATGTGTGCTTTCATGTATATGAAGGAATGTGTACACAAATATGTGCATGTGTATATATATATATATATATATATATATATGCTCGGTAACAAATAAAAAAGGAAAACATGTATAAAGGTGTAGGAATGTGTGTGTGTGTATGTATGTATGTATGTATGTATGTAGGTAGGTACGCATGCATGCAGGTATATATCATATGTATGTATTTATGTATGCATGTATGTATTTATGGGGTCCCGTGGTTGACTATGTGTGAACGTAAATATATATATATATATATGTATATATATGTATACATATGTACAGTTATATGTTTATGTATATATATATATATTATACAGAGAGATCAAGGGAGAGAACGATTCCTAGAGACACAGACACAGAGAGAGAGATAGATAGATGCAGAGATAGATATGTGTGTGTGGGGCGGGTGTTTGCACTTCTTTCAACTTTATGTATGGTTCTGTATGTGCATGCATGCATGCATGGCAAGCGCGCGTCAATATAGGTAGTTGCATGCAGCCCCGGGGTGCCACAGGATCCAAGGCCCAGGCCATTCCGACGATGCCGATGCTGTTCGGCTCGGTTGCGTTGAAAATCGTCGCAGCCAGGAGCCTGCAGAGAGGAATGGCTGCAAGAACTCTGAAAGAATTCCGAAGGCATATGAGCCAGCCCCTGGACAGCGTCAACCTTCAAGGCTTCCTAACGCAAGAGAATCAAAAACGCACACACACACACACACACATACCGATCGTGCATCTGCTCCACTTTCTGCACGCAGCCATGATACGTTAGTGCTCCCAGTCTGGCTTGTTGCTGCCATGCGTTTGCAAAGTGCAACCCTGTCTACTCGCGACAGAAAGCCCCGGATCCGTACTTTAGATTTGAAGGCGAGGAGCATGAAGGCAGCACTGATCCAAACCATCCTTGGTTCGTTGCAGTAGCGGTGCCCTCCCGCGCACTTTTGTCATGATGATCCACGATGGAAAAAAGGGAACAGGGACACTACAGGGGGAAGAACTTGTAGAACACAGACTCTTAAACTCTTGAGCAGCCCTAGGTTTCCCTCTGTTTGCAATGGCTCTTGTAATCAGACCAAAGCTGACATGACTTGGTAGGTTCCGAACGGCAATCAAGCCACGCAAGGAGTAAACCCAGCACGGAAAGAACAAACCCGTACTACATCCACTGCAGCCTTGCATCAGCAGCCAGGTGGCCGTCGTAACCTTCAGAGCGCAACACGAGCAAACACGGCCGAATGGCAAAAGCCACAGTCCGTCCAGGGATCTGAAGTCTTTGAGGGGGCCTTGTAGATCCTAGCAATCTCGAAGCACAAGGAGATCAGGAGACCACCAAGAGACCACCAGGACATCTACAAGCGGATTTGCATGTGCCACCACAAGGTTTCCCCAATCTGCCGGCACCACCCCTAATCCACCCCTAATATAGCGGCCGGATTCGGAGGTTTCGTTTCGACGCCAGCTCTATCAGGATTTACAATGGGCCTGGGATTCCGGGGGACGATGTCCGACAGATCCAATGTAAACGCAGGGGCATCGTGACATGAGCACACAAAATGGAAAAACCACAGCAGGAGTCGTGTCTCCAGCAACCTCCCGTCGGCAGGTGCCTTGCCCTGAATGCGTCAACCTCATGGTGTCTACAACACTGTCCGGAGACTGGAATTCACTAAGATGCCCGCATCAATACCCCTATTAGACCCTAAGTACCCATTATTTGGGACCATATACCCCTGTTTGAGGGTACAAGGAGGGTCCTGGTAAAGCCACTACAGTACTATATACCTGACATCTCATGCAGGACCGTTGACAGAGCCCGACCTCAGTCGGCAGCTCCAAGTGCTTTCGAAAGAAGGTCTCGTTGTAGTACCTGCAGGATGCTTGTTTGTTTTAACGTGCAGTGATTCTTTCTCCATAACTTCAGGATGCCTTTTTTGTTAAAGTGCAGTGAGTCTTTCTCCATACCTTCAGGATGCTTTTAACGGTTTAGGCCTTCTGGGGTTGGTGATTTGGGAAAAGGTTTCTTGTGGCTTTTCATCACATGGGGGTTGAGGATCTTGGGGTAAGGGAATTTAGGATGCAGGGTCCAGGAGTTTTCTTGGGTTAGGGTTTCTTGAGAGTTTGGGAGTTTAGGATTTAGGTCCATGTTTGCACAGTGGAGTTTAGGATGTGAGATTTCCATGACTACAGACGTTGGCTAGAAAAGTAAGTCCCAAGCATCCCAAAAGCCTAGACCATAAACCGCGGGAATCCTTGACCTCCCACAGCCGTCTTGTACTATAGGGGCCACAATGCTTAGAATAGGGTTGGGGGGGAGTGCATGATATTGCAGTCTACTACAAAACAAACCACCCTAAGGAGCCCTCATTCGTCTGAAACCTGGAATCCGGGAGTATCGCTATGTCAACACGGAGGCTTCGGTACCGCCTAGGAGCCGGCAAACCAAAAGCAACCGAGCAAAGTTCAGTGGCGTGGGTCTCAAACGTCTTTGAGCCCGGCCATGGCAAGGCCAGGATCTGTAAAATTCAATGCCCTGCCTAAACCCCCCAGATTAGGTAAAATAACGGCCCAATACCCATAAAAGGCTATAATTCTACATGCTTTTGGGGTCCAGGTAGATGTGTACAGCACCTCACGCTTTGCTTGTGTCAATCTTTCACTCACGATCTCACAGACTCTAATTAATCCTGTCAAGCCTACTTCAGCACTCGCAACAGACCCCGATGATTGCGCCGCGAAGCAGAGACAAGGCCAGGCAAGTGGGGAAGAAGACGTAGGACGTCAGGCAGGCGAGCACATGGATCCTGACAGTAGACTCCTACGAGGAAAGGCAGAGACGAGACATACTTAGTCCGAAACCTCCAACTGTAACTGATCCAACAAAAACGAATCTTTGAATCCCCAAACTAGAACTCGAAGCTCTGAAGCATGGAGAATGGTACAAACATGACAGGCGTCTTGATGGGGTCGTTCAGGCCCACAAAGCCAACTTCATGATGCTTCATGAGAATCAGCACCACGTACCAGACTAGACCTGAGGAACGCCGCGGAGCTAACACATCTTACTATAGAAGCCTTAATAACTAGAATAGGGTTTTGGGGCCCATTATACTAAAAAATATTTTAACGACCCCCCCCCCAAAAAAAAACAAAAAATATATATATATATATATATAATATAGGTAACTATTGTACGGCCCCTATATCAAGCATGCACAAACTCGCGCATCGCCTGAGTTGGGCTTACGTCTTACGAGATAGTTCGAAGGTATTTAGCAGTCTGGCAAAGAAGTTTCGGGTCCCATTCAGTGCCGACAGCTTAGGTTTCTTATCCCGGGAGGCGAGGCCGGGGCCTCATAGCAAGATTCGGCGACAAGTAGGAAGATTCGGTTTAGGGTTTAGGGTTTTGTGCTCTTGCCCCAGGAGTTGAGGCTGAGCCTGTCATCATCATCGCATGTACGCCGGGCACAGACCCCCCGCTTGGGCTGTAAGCAGGGTAGCCCTGATACATACCGCATAGAACCGAAGCATTTCAGGGCCTGGAAGTCTGCAAACTTTGGGGATCTTGATGATTAGGATGGCGCTTGTGGGTATACCAGACTTTAAATGCATGGTGAGTTTATCGAGATCCAGTTGCTGTTTATTCAGGCCCCAACAGTTGGCTGGCCGTCGAGCTATTCGACAAGCTGATCTCCCGTGAGCATGACGTTTAGGCTTGAGGGATCAAGTCCAGCGCAGACTCTGTTCAGGGCAGTGACCGGCCTCTGTTTATTCCAAGTCAGCAGCTGTTGAAATCATGCCTCAGCCTTTGCAGCTCGTAAACCACGGAAGTCTGACACCGAACCCTGAACACAAGAACCAAAAGAAATCCTCTCACACAAACAATGTGAAGCCACCCTTAGTAAGTGCAGGGCTTTCTGTCGCGCTATGTATATGAACTAGAAGACCCTTATCAGAGCATATCTTTTCGAGAGTTTGGGGCTGATCTAAAAGTTGGCATTAGGGCCCAACAGAAGCACATAAGCAAAATTAGGATAGGGATATCCCATATAAACCCCCTTATAATGCAGTCCAATAAGGTAGGGATAGGTTTTTTTAGGGAAGGGGCAAAGCAGAAAGGTGAGCATCACCGCTCCGGGCAGCGGCCGAGTGTCATTGCTCGCCTGGCAAAGCTTTAAGGATCTATCCCTGAAGGGTCCAAAGGACCCAATGATTAGGTACTTAGGTTTCGGATAGTAATTATGTAGGTTACCATGATGGGTACTTGGAGCCTTAGGGTGTAGGCTTCTGTAAGGGTTTTCGGGCTTGAGGGTTTAGGGTTTGAGGACAAGGCAGACTTTATCGGTGTGACTTCATGTGCGGGCTGAAAGTTGAAAGTATCGGGTATGGGATATGGGTGTCCAGGTTCTTGTGTCTTTGTTGTTGAATCGGTTGCTTGCGGATGATGTATATTGACGACGACTCGACGACCTCAGTCAGTAGTTAACATGGAAAGGCTCGCCATCCTTTCCTAAACACTGGGGTGGTTCCAGTTACCTAAATAGTAGGTTACTAAACATATGGTATATAAGCCAATAACCCATTATTTAAGTAACTGGAGCCCTGGGGGAACTCAACATGTTAAACCCAAGTCAAGGCCTCCGTTTTTACAGAAGAGGCTTCCCTCATGACGCCATGATGCAAAGAAGCCTTGCTGGCATTCTCCCCGGCACTCTAACATGTGTAGCGCAGCCTTGTCGGCTGATGACTGTGTGAGCCTTTGTGCCTGCGTTTTACCTGCAGGGACCGGTTGCCTAGACCTTCAGCCCTAAACTGAACCTCATCCAGCCACGGTTCCACAGACTTTGAATTTTGGTCTCGGTCGCCCATCAGGGCCAGGCACGGTCCTACCTGCACTCTACAAGACTCCATCTTGCCTCAGTGCCCATGCAGAGGTCTGCGGAGAGGTGCATTTTCGATATTTCTGAATTAGACCCCAAGCCAAGTCCATCAAAGCCCATGGCTTCTTGTTCTTCCTTTTGGCTCGGGGGCAGAAAGTGTCTAGACTGCCGCAATGCAAGGTCCGACGGATCTGGGTGGAAGTCCCCGGGGGTTCCGAGTTGTTGATCTCTTTTCTTTAAGTACAGAGCATAGCTTATAAGCTTAAGGGTTTAGAGCTTAAATAAAGTGTACCAGATGCCTCAAGGACTTTGCAGGGCGCATAACAACCATGCAATGGTTCTGAAACTGCTGCCGCATTGCATATATTTCTTAGGAAAGTTTTCGGTATGTGCAATCGGCACCGAAAGATTGCTCATCCTGCAAACATGCCGAAGGATGGCACAACCCTGAGATCTACACAGAACTTAGGTAAAGATCTGAAACAGGTCGGCGTTTGCTTGGAAGAGCAATGCAGGAACAAAAGGATCACAAAATTGCTGGCTTCACAGCACCAGGAAGCAAGAGAGTTGTCTTCGGCTCTACACAGATGCATGCATGGCATGGAATACTCTCCACAAAGGACTCAGGCTTTAGGATGTCTTTGGGCTGGAAGAGTCGGAACGTAGAACGTGCCATGCACCGGCTTACATGTTGTGTCGCCGAAGTACTTGAAACTATTCACTCTCAGAGTCACCAAGTCCTACGATTCAAAAGTCCAAACCTAGTACCCCCAACCTGAAATACGGAATGGCAAACTTAACCCAAAGCCCTGTAAAGGAAATTGCTCACTCCCACTCAATGGTCGCGGGAGGCTTGGAAGAGACGTCGTAGCAAACTCTGTTGATGCCCTTCACCTCCGTGCCATGCAATCAGTGAAAAAAAGTTGGCTTCGAGGGGTTCGGACAACAAATGCATAAGTCGTGTGTCTTGGATTTACATGGTGAAATACTGCAGCTCTGGTTGAAAATCTGTTGTTATCGGTCCATCCTGTTGGGGGGCGCAGCACCGACTTCAAGTTCGAGCACTTGGGATCGAACATATCATATGACATATGGTAAGCATGTGGCATAATGTCATATCTAATGTATACGGTATACTGACTACTGTATAGCAATAAAAAACACAATGTATTCTTTGAGGTTGGTGGGTGTTAGATTTCAGCCCATTGAGGGTTAAGTCACCTGGGCCCTGGCTAGAATTCAATTTGCCATCCCCCCAAATACGAAACCTTAAACCTTGCATGCTACACCCTGAACATTGATCCTGAAACCCGAAACCCCAAACCCTCCCAGCCTCGTTGATGATCCTGTTCGAAATGCGAGCGAGAACATCCTGGCAAGTTGGGGCTTTCTGGGAAGCCGGGACCCTTGCAATCCGGTTTCGGGCTAACGGTACGCACCACACGTAAACAAGCAAATTTATGACTAAATCAACGGGTTAGTTTTACAAATAAATGAAAACATGCGTGTGTGTGTGTGTGTGTCTACGTTTACTTCTGTATCTAATGACCTTTCTACATACATAGGTATACATAATACAATTGCACCTTCATAAACACACGTGTTTCTGTGTATAGTTTATACAACATATACACACAAATCTCCCGATTCAAGAGACGATATTCTGTTCATGAGGCAGGCAATCGTGCACAAACGACTGATCCCGACCACCCCACATACGGCCAAGAGTTGACCTGCCTGACAGAACCTCATGCAGCAATCCGAAGATGGACCAAGGAGCATGAGGCATGTCGTACCAGTCTGCGGTCATGAAGTCGGTGGTGGTGACGGCACGGAGGACGCACACATTCCTCGGCACTGGTTGTGTTTCTCAGGAGCCTTGGAGTTAGTGACCCCGGGCTCATGCAGGCTGCTGTTCTGCAGAGCCTCAGACAAAACTGGATGTCTTATGAACCCTGGGACCAGAACAACCCCTCAACAGGCATCTCCAGCTCATCAACCTGAAAGCTCAAAGAAAATACGCATCCCAAACATCTATCTATAAAGGAGCAGCCCTGTCCGGAGGTATTCGCTCAACCCCAGCCCCTCATGCTGGACAGTGCCATGTAACTCGATGTTTTTGTTGGAAGGAAGTTGGGGCCGGAACGAAATTCTAACATGCTGCGAGTATTCAACCTGCCTCAACCTGCCTCACATAACATCAAGTTCGATCCATAGGCCCCAGCCCTGTCGAAGAAATTCGACAGCCTGCATGGGCTACCAATAGGCCAGCCAGGGTTCTCGTAAGTTCGGTGATCGCCCATGACGCCCACCGATCGGACGGTCGGCAGGAGCACGGCAAAAGCCTGCTCCAGGCTGTTGGTTGAAAGGGTCTGCTTTTGTTTGCGGCCTCCTCTACAACAAAGCTCAAACAAGTAGGTTGATGGTGCAGGGATGTCTATGATTGAAAGACTACATATATGATGACGAGGATCAAGACCGGCTTCCCAGTCAGCTGGGGCACTCACAAGCTCAAGGACGGCTAGCAATGGTTCATGAAATGAAGGTTGGTCCGGACTAGGCGCGCATATCCCTTGGCTTGAGCCCTTGAACCTTTGCAGCCTGAGTCGCCTTTGCAACTTGTATGCACTGGTGTCAACTTTGTGTCGGGCCTCCAAGCTTATCCTGTAGACACCCAAGCACCCTGTAATTAACGGAGCCCTCATGGTCCTCAATTGTCCTCAATAGTGGGTATTCAGGGTACACTAGAGTTATTAGAGGGTAGTAACATGGGCTACCAGTCTGGCCTGGCCGATCTTGTCGTAGTGTCCTGTCTTACGCAGCTCCTCGATATAGATGTCATCCTTAGGAGCGATGCAGACTTGCCCGACAAAAGGTGCCTGGTTCACAGGAACACACAAGAAAGGCACGACTTATCTCGCTCGCAGACTGACCCAACTAGACATCCGAAATGCATGAGCAGGAGAACACTGTGCCGTCATCATATACCGCCTCACTTGACACAGTCGGGCCTCGAGTCTCGAGTTGCCACTACAGCCTACACCTATTTGACCCCAACGCCCTGACGACTAAACAGTCATGGCAAATCCGAGCATCCGCGTGGGAGAGGCGGTCTGCTGTCTCCTGCGCTTACACGAATGCTGCTGAAGGCGCAGAGTCGAAGGCAGTTCGGGCTTTGGTGGCATAACTGTTGCGAATCCGGCGGAGGGGGCTCATCAACAAGAATAGTCGTCGTATGTCGTCTGTGGTACATATTATGGTGGTAACTCTTGCACAGCGAGCTGCGTTTACGTTTTATAGAGCCCTCCGAACTTGTCTTGCATTACAGCATCACTACCCTCGCGAAGATCAACGTCTTTTCTTTCTGGGTTTTCGCAGCAGCAAGCACAGCGCCTTGTGCCAGCAATAGCCGAATATCCTTTCGCAGAATTTGGTATATGTCAAGAGCATTACACAATTCGTGCTGCCTTCTCAGACTTTCAATCTCTTGAGACTGCTCCCTGTACTTCTCCAGCTGTCCTTTGGACAGACTGCGACGGGCGCAGGTTTGCACTTGGCGAATTCTGCGAGCTCGCTCGACGCCTTCAACTGTCAACGTTCGATACCTGCCTTGGTTGCCAGACAGCACAGAAAGCCCGTGCTTAATTGCTGAGTGCGACAGGTCGCGAACACCCAGTGCAAGAAAGGCTCGTTCACGCTTTGTCAACAAGCCGTTGTCCAGCAACCGCCTTAACAGCAGATGCACGTCGTGTTGACGGCGAACCCACAATTCAAAGATTCCATCTGCTCGCTGACATAAAGTCGCTGGGAAGCCCAAATCATACTGCCAGAAGGTGGCAATCCAACGTAGCACGTGGTCGGACATCTGTGCAAGCATCACGCGCACTCCGTGATGTGCAGTGTAACAGGAAACGTAGCCTTCAGCATCAAAGAATCCTGCGATGAAAGCCCATGAGCAAGTGAGTACTGGATGGCCTGCTCGAACCTTTGCTTTTGCGAGGTCTCGCTTCCGGTCTTCTCGCACAGACGTTGAACAAGGCCTTGTGGCTGCTAGCAGAAGCTGATGTTGTTTGACGAAGCTCCGCTCTGCAAGCTGTGTTGCTGCTTTTCGGACTTCCTCGCCCTTGAAAAGGTGCCAAACTAAAGTCGGGCGCCTTGCGCCTTTCCCATTGGCTGCTAGATACACACTACCTCCAAAAGTCTCGGCAAATAGAACCAGGATCTCTGCGTGGAAGGATGACTGCACAACTTGCAAGGTGTATACCTTCGACCGGCTTCGTAATGCGACGCACCCATCTCCGTCGAAGAATCCAGCCAAATAGCACAAAACGCTTTCGGATGCGGTGACCGTCGCAGCAGTTGGCGAGTATGGCAACTGGTAGGTCACACCATGGGCCTGAAATTGGGATAACTGCGGCCAGACGAGTCTGGACTGCAGGGACTTCAGCACAGCGTTGCGACGCTGCAAATAACGAAGAGACTTGCCATGCATTCGAGGAGGTTTGCGGAGTGCAGAGCCGCTGGAGATGCAACTTCCCAAGACCATGCTTGAGCCCGAGCAACCAGGTTCGGAGATCCTTTCAGCTCTAGATGCCCGGAGTACCGAGCCCTTTCCAGCAGAACACCAAAATCGACGAAGTAATTTGCAAAGGGGCCTGAACAGCAAGAACTAGGGTGTTGTGTGGTATTTGCAGTACGAATCCAGTAAGGAACCCCAAGTGCCCTAAGGAGTAGAATTAGCGATTTTACCGACCTCTATTTTGTTCAACTTCGGGCCTTGTTGATCTCGCCAATGATGCGGATACCGAGGCCAGGGCCCGGGAACGGATGTCGCCTGATCAAAAGAAACAGCATAGGAGTAGTAGTAGTAGTAGTAGTAGTAGTAGCAGCAGTAGAAGTAGAAGTAGAAGTAGAAGTAGAAGTAGAACAGTAGAACAGTAGAACAGTAGAACAGTAGAAGAGTAGAACAGTAGAACAGTAGCAGTAGCAGTAGCAGTAGCACTAGCAGCAGCAGTGATAGTACTTACTGACAACCATAAGAACAAGAATAATCATAGTAGTAATAGTAGCCATAACCATGAGAGTCGCAAATGATGAAACAACAAAAACAAACAATACAACTACTACGATCATGGTTGTTGTTCTAATTACCAATATTACCGTATTTAACCATTACTTTATGGATTGAGCAGTACTGATCATACTAGTAATTTTCATAAGAATGTAACTAGAATGCTACCGGACAGTGTAACACATCGCGGGCCCCATATGTGACTGATAACGTTTTTCCATAAAGTCTCGTTAAACAAGTGGTAGTGTTTGTTGTTGTTTGTTTGGCACCCCCCCCTTGTCCCCGAAGTTTGAAGGTCTGAAACTGAGAAGCATCGTTGCATGCGCATATGTGTGGGTGTATGTCCATGAGTTGTATGCAAATATACATATATATATATATATATATATATATATCTTTATATGTATAAATACCAACAAACACACACATTGGGTGAGGACATTACAGTTCATGTCTAATGTTGGCCAAGATCCAGAAGACGTCACACACAAAAAAAAAAAAAAAACAGGAATGCTGCAAATGTGGGGGCCCGTAATGTCATCTTTTACCTGCAATGACAACAATAACAACAACAATAGCAGCGATCGTTAAACAATAGTTCACAGCTCCAGCCCCAATCCCCCCGACTCTTTGAAGGCATCTGCAAGCTGTCTTTGTGTCGACTACGGATGGTCGCTGTAGTTTCCCACGGGCTTGAAACGCAGTATGGCATTAGTGCTTGCTTCCCTGTGATGGACGAGATCTCAGGCCGTCTGAGGATCTAACATTCATTTCAGGCAGGCTTGAGAACCGCCCACATTCACATTGTCAAGCTTCAGTTAGTCGTTGGCCATGGTGATGGTCAAAAACTTTCGATGCAGTAGTTTTGCATTTTGCAAGACTATGCAGCACGCACCAAAGCGAGTGCTTGAGCTATGCTTCGAGTGTGACTGTGACTCCTGAGTCTTACGGAAGTTGCCACTTCGCGCTCGATCCGAACCCTCTTCTGCATGAGCTCGGACTGCATGTACTCTTTTCGATAAGTGCGACATAGTACGGGCACTGGTAATACTAGTAGCTTTTCACAGCACTGTCACTAAGACTACAAGCAATGGCAACAGTACTACTATACTATGACTACTAATCATACTAGTGGCATGAATGCTCCTGAGCTGAGATCCGAAGTCCGTGCGAACCCCCTAAGACTTGAGTTGTCTGCACCCAAACCTCCAAGCACCCTCAAGAGCTTACTTCATCGGCCTGTCGCCTCGCCGAAAAGCCTAGGATCCTCCGTTCGCAACGCTAGGGCTCGGACATCACAGAGGTGACGGGAAGGCCAAGCTCCCGCCCCAGGGCCTCAGAGAATTGCAGGCCCTTAGGGGTTTGGGCTTGGGAGTTTTTGGGGACGTTTGCATTCCCTGGGCCCCAAAGACCATAAAGCCTGCACCCCAAGACCACAAAAACCTAAAGCCAACTCCAGGAAGCCATCTCCAATGCCGGCAACTTACGCGGACCTCATCCTTGAAGAGGAGCCGGAGCGGCCTCGGGTGCGAATATAGGGGCCTGCATGGATCTTGGAGCATATCAGTCGCATTCTCTCTCTCTCTCTCTCTATCCCTCTCTCGCTCTGTCTGTGTCTCTCTCGACTTAGAAAATAAGAATAAATAGACAGACAGATAGACTAGATAAATATTAGTTCAATAATTAACACAGATTAGATTGGATTGGACTATATTCATGTAGATCGATGGTAGATGGGTAGACCGATAGATAGATGGATGGATACACAGATGGATGATAGATGGATAGATGGCTATGGTAGCGGCTATGGGGGCTAGAAGGGGATATCCTTACTTCCCAAGGACAGAAACAATGCAGACCCTGAGTCCGACTACATTGCGACCAAATCACTCGATCACCTCCATCTTCATTCGGTCGGGCAGGCCGCCCACGTTGTGGTGGGTCTTGATGATCTGAGGAGAAGGGAGAGCAAACTCACCGAGCAAACAACACCATCTGAACATGCGATACCAGTGCCGGAGTTCTTCAAAAGTCGACACGACAGCTCAGCCAAAGGCTGGGGAGCTGCAAGCAATTTGGTGTCAGCTCTGCGAGCCAATGTCAGTCCTGCTGGCCTGCCTTTGCTGATGCTCCAATGAAAGCAGGACCCTTCAGCCCAAAGTTGGCATGGAAGGAGCAACCTCAAGAGTATTCATTGACCCTCGAACTCAAAATCACAGCCAACCAAGGCTCTAAAGCACACGTTCTAACCTCTTCAGACGAAGCCCTTGGACACCATCTAAACACTGGAAGCTCGACCCAAGTGCCGAACTCTAATGAACAACTAAACTCTAAAAAAACCCTGATTCAACCCTGCCCCGAATTGCCCGAAACTCAAAGCACCAAGCTGCACTAGAGGGGCCCTTGTAGGAGGTGGACTCGATGACGTCGGGGTACCTTGGCCCCGAGGGATCTGAACTTCGGGGGCACCACAAATCCTAACAATTCTATAGTCTCCATTGCGGGTGTTCTGTTGGATTAACTCAACTCAGTCTGTATTTAGGATCCCATACGATAGCCCAAACAAGGAACTACGATGGAGATTATGGGAAAGCTCCTCCAACGGTTTAGGGAATAGGGGGTAGGGTTTACGGGGCATAGGGTTTCAAAGTAGCTTCCTTGATTGAGAGGTTTTTTGGGTCTGCAGGCCATGTACAGTATCTACACAGTAGAACCGGTTTAGTGTTCGGCAGAGGTAAACCCCAAACCCTAAACCCGAAACCCATGGGTGCATGGCGGCCCGTAGTTCTCCTTGCTACTCGTACCCCTTTTGACGGCGAATCCTACTTCCAGAATGCATAGACTCCATACACTATGCTCAAAACCATGAACCCTCAACCCAACAGTGCGGGCAAGCTGCAGTGTGCCCTGCAAGAGAAGGCAATTCTCATGGGGGAGACCTTGGTGGGAGTAAGAAGTTTCTGCGGCTCGGATTGTGTTTCTCGGTCCTTGAGCTGCAAGCGCAGGAACCAGGACCCCACTGAAAGTTCGAAATAAGAACATCTGATCGCAAGTGCCACCCAAAACAGGACCCCAGCTGAAGAATCGCAGATCCCATTCGCCGCTTGCAAATCCCATTCGCCGCCCCACAAATGCTCAATTTTGCCTCCTGGGCTCAGCCTAGCCTTATTGGTTTTTCTTCAACAGCATGTGAAAGCCGACTAAACAATCAAATTCCCATTTAGATTCCTCCCTGAAGCCCCCAAACTCGTGAAACCCTAAACCCTCAAACTGTCAAGCCGGGCTGCCCATCTCAGACACAGCCTTCTCAAAAGCCTCCACGAAGAGGCGGCCAATGATCTTCCTCTGGGCTATCGAGGGTACTAGATAGAGGCCTGAACAATAAGTAAGACAGCTATCCCCGCGGGGAGGCCCCACATAGCTATGCGATGATATACCTCAAGGCTCCTTTTCTTATGATTTGAGACATTAGTGGTCCTGTTACCGCTGTTATTGCTGTTAAGGGCCCAGTATATTCAGGCCTTCAAGTCAAGCCTTGATCTAAGCTTATAGGCTGCGGGAGAGGTCTGTAAGTTTCGGGCTAACCAAGCATTACCATTTGCCGTTTGGGACTTCACATCTTTATGGAGCCGTAAGGTTGGCTGGAGTTTAGCTCGATGGTTCAGGTCGCAGGGGAAGATCGAGGACCACATCTACATTGTGGTCTTTTGGATGGGACTTCGCTGAATACGACGTTTCAGATGTGCAAAACGCAGAGGCAAGCTTCAGGGGGCTTCCATGCTTTCTTGGCAGGTGCGCGGTTCTGCATATCGATATCTGGTCTGTGGAACGGGCAAGAGCGGAAATAGGTGCGTCAAAACAACTACATAGTTGCAAAAGAGTTTTGCCACACTGGAACTGCACAGTGGGCCAGCTCGTATTCATGTGTCAAGTTCTTTGCTTCGAACAAGATAACGCGTCCAGTGACACGTTGCTGGTAGGATTTCCGTAACTCAGCTGCAGTTGCTCAATCTTGCGCCCCGGAACCGTGTAGATGCCTTGCAGTGCTGTTAAAGCAATCCTCAAACTGACCCGTAAAGGACCTTAACAGGAGCCCTTGGGTGGAACCTTTAAGGAACCTTGGAAAGGAACCCTTAACTCAAGGCTTAAGGGTTCCCTCCAAAGGGAGACCTTCAAGGAACCCCTTTAAGCACCGAAGCTGCCTCTTCTTCTCAGGCTCAGTGACTCCCGCCAACTCCTGAAGGAGGCTTTTGGTGAAGTTTAGGATTTGGGATTTAGGGGTTGATGGTTTGGGATTTAGGGTTTCTGGATTCAAGGTTAAGGGCTCGAGTACGAGGGCCAGCCAACTGTTTTAGCAGCAGAAGCGAAAGCGAATAAGATCTAACTTGGTACACTTCTCGATTTAAAAAACGTCTTCTGTACGTGCCTGACTGTCTTCCTTGCTGCAGGGGCCATGCACCTGCGGAGTCAAGCGTGTCATCCTTGCAGCAGGGGCAGGGACATACACATCTGCGCTCCCCCTTTTGGCGTTCGCCAAAACACCACCAAACCCCAACAACCCAACCACACTTAAGCAGCTGAAGTCCAAAGGGCCCTCGGAAAAGGGTGGAGAGAAGTCCAAGTGGAGGAGTGCAAAGGAGTGTAGCCCAAGTAAGGCTCAAGACGCTCCTCAGTTTCTGAGGAAAAGGACTGTGGTTGCACAACAAACGGCGCAAGGCTTCACAGTGCTTGCAAAAGATGGGACATGTAATCCCCTGCACGGTTTTGCAGAAGCACGGCTCTTCACCAATCTGCAAGCTACACAACCTGAGAACCTGACCCAAACCGGACTTACAACCGGAAGCTAAGAAAATCGTCAAAAATCCAAAGATGAGCCGATACTGTACTCCAAGGGTCAGAAAGGATTAGCATGTCTCAAGCAGATATCCGCGAGACTGGCACGCCTAACAAACTAAGACCCACAAGCCACACCTTTAAGGACGTATGACAAAACGACCCCTAAAAACCACGCCTAGAGCACCTTACTTCAATCCACCTCAGGGACTCCATCCTGGTGCATGCGCTCGAGGCGAAAGCCCTCGTTCGTGTAAAAGATATGTTGTTGAGCATCTGACAACTGTTCAAGTGGCACTTCAATGCCATTCCTAATCAGAAACGCTGCAGCTGAAGCGATAGCATGATTTATTTCTTCATCAGCCTCTTCAATCTCACTGTCAGTCGCAAGCGGAGGAAATCTTGTTGATCTTAAGACCGCAACGTCATCAACATACCTCACCACAGCATCAGAGGAGCTAGCAGCCTCATTGGTACCTGCAGCCCAGGGTGTTAGAGTTGGCAAGTCAGGATAGAGACCTGCCTCACGCATCTCTTCATACTGGCGGTACAGCTGTTCGGGTCCAGGGACTACATCGATTCCATGCCTATTGATCTGGTCACGGTGGGGGTAAGTAGGGTCATACCTAGCCCTATACTCAGCAGCAGGAACTATCCCAACCCCTTGAACCCAGTGCGGAGGAGTTCCAGATGACGAGCTGGAGTCTGATCTCGTTGCCATATACAGCTCGAAATCTCGCCGCGCTCCGCGGTCATAATACTCAGCTGACCGACCAGACTGTATCGAAGAAGACTCTGCATCACTACGCGGGGATTGAGGTTCCGGCTCGTAGGGAAGGGCCTCAGGAACAACTACTACAGGATGATTTCTCGGGGCCTCGGGTGGAAGCTCGAGTGCGACAGTTCCTTGCATGTCAACAACCAGGCTGCTTCTTAACACGCGATCAATGAAGTTTTCCCAGCTATTAGGGTCCCCAAGATCAAAAAAGTTAGGAATTTCAATCCGGTTGGTGTTCCTTCGCAGCGGGGGAGGTTCAACCGTGGGGCTACGTTGCTCTGGTGCTCCAGGCAGGAGGGCCCACGGAGAAAACTGCACGTCTGGGCCTGCACCAGTGCTAACTCGCCTTGGCCTGGCACCTCTGCCACGGCAACGCAGTCCATCATCGTAGTCAGCAATGACTATAGGCTGCGGGATTTGCTCGGAAAGCGGAATGGGTTCAAGCTCTGGCTGCTCAAGGCCATCTTCGACTGGCTCAGTGCGTCGTGTGCTAAAGAACCTTCCCACAGCACAAAGCAGAAAAATCCCTATTGCAACCACAAGAACCGGAACTATTGAAAGCCACCAGCTGCTCCAGTCATCCTGCGTCGATCCTTCAACTCCTCCCTTGCCCTGAGCCTGAACAGGCAGCGAACCGACAACAAGCAGCGCCAACGCCTGCCTCAAAAGGTTTAGTTTCGCAACAGGGGCCTTAACCTTTGGCACATCGTACCCGCACAAAAGCAAGAGGTCTCTGACACGAGTCCAAGGCAGCACTTTCGTGGCAATATCTGCCAGCATGTGTTCTCCTTTTAAGTGCGACAGGTGCCACTTTCCAGACTGGAGCCTTTCCCGGAGGGCTTGAGACCGAACCCGCAGGTGGCGCGTGCGCCAATTGCCACTTTCAAAAGAAGCGATTGAGATGGATGCAAGGTTATCGCAGAAAGCCTGACACGCTGGAAACTGCTGAACCTCTGGGTGAAGCTCATGCACCAGCCCTTCAAGGGACTCCGTCAACGCTACACCCTCAAGAACCCCTAACAGCTCACACTCAGCAGTAGAGAGAGCTGTGAAGGGCTGCTTACCTGCACCCCAGAAGACTAGATTGCGACCGACCTGAACCAGGCCAGCTTCAAAGCTTCTGTCACCAGCTGGAGCGAAACTAGCATCAGTGAAAGATTCAAGCAGGTAAGGAAGAGCCGTGACGCGACGCTCATTATGCATGCCATGGGGAGGCTGATCTGCGGCGCACTGGTACTTCAGAGCGACCCGCTTGGTGCCTTTAAGATAGCAAAGGATATGCAGACCGAGCTTGAAAGCAAGCTCCGGACATCGACTCACCAATGATGTTACCCTCGCAACCCCATAGACAATGTCTACTCTTGTCTTTCCAGACACCCAAAGAAGCTCACCCGCAAGTGCCTGGGCCTTTCTCAAAGCAACAGGGGAAGAAGGTTCTGGCTCTTCTGGGTCCTGAACCTTTACAAACGGGCACGAAGTCTCTACCAGTGGAGCCCCAAGACTCTCTTCGTAGCGCTTTACAACATCTTCTATATACGATGCTTGGTGGACTAAGAGCGCACGGCCTTGTCTCTCTATTTCAACACCACAAAAGCGCACAGGATTCTTAGAGCTAAGCTGGTCCGGCTCCGAGCACTGCCAGATGTTGCGAATTTCAGCGAGGACTGCGGATGCATACTTTGCAACACCTCCAATCATGAGGTCATCGACATATACGACCAGAAGGCCGACAATGCCTCCTGACGATGCCGTCAGTAGCCATGCATTTGGCTCAGAAACTAGCTGTCTCAGGCTTATTTCAATATCTCCAATCTTAACGCGAACAGTCTTTAACGTGCGGTCCCTAAGTTTCGACCAACATTTAGGAGACCGGTCAAGGCCGTACAGAGCACCTTCAACCAACCACCGCTCAGCTCTGCTGACTACTCCGGCAAGCTGAAAGATACGGGGCGGATCAAGGACGATCAGCTCCTCGGTCCCTGACTCGACCAGACTGCTATCAACACCATCGGACAACTTCGCGTTTAAGAAAGCTGTTTTGACGTCTGTCACCCAGACATCCCAGTCGGGGTGCTGGGATATGAAAGCCAACGACAATCTTAGTGCGCTCGCGTCGATTCCACCGGCATATGTGAGCATACGATGTTCATACGCGGAGCCACCAGCTGAAGGCCCGTGATTTCCACATGCGACGCACCTAGCCTTCCTTAAGCCTGACACCGCCTTGCGAGTGAAGACTCCTTTTGAGGGCAGACGCAGCACCGCACGTCCCTGGGCAAGCCATTCCGCAATTTGTTGTTCCGAAATCGGCCTTAGCACTCCTTTTACACGGAGGCTGTCATATTCGGCACTTATCGCTGGCTTCCACAAAGGAAGTTCGCGTTTGACCTGATCGAGGCTCACAGTTTTCGTTTGCAACGGTGGTGGCTCATGGTCCGGAGCATGGGCATCAGAAGCAGAGGGTGACTCCCCCAGTCCTCTAAGACGAAGCTCTTTGACTGCTAAGGGGCACTTGGACTCCCCCGGGCCCGACAGCACCTGATAATAGGCAAGGAAGTTTTCTATGCCTTCAGAGCGCGCCTCGAGGACCTCACTGACAGCACTACTTGAACCACTAGCTGCCTGCAAGCTGCGAAGATTAACCCTAGCCCTATTAAGCTCTTCGATCCCCTGCAAGACACAGGTCTCTACCGGACCGTCTATCAGTACAAAGGACTCAAGGGGGTCATCGGGAGGGGTCTCATGATCATGGCAAGGGCTTAAGCTCCGAGCCTCAACCTGAAGGGAGGACGCAGCTTCAGCAGCCTCAAACCATAACTTCGACTCAGCACTGCAGGCCGCATCCAAACCATAAGCCTCTTCGCTGAAATCAGACTCCGCCTCAACCTCATCAACCAAGAGCCCGACACCGGAGGAAGACTCTTGGGCAGGAGGAGAAGTATCAATCAACGCACTCAGCTCATGCGGTCGATTTTGATTTTGAGTTGCAAGCCCCTGTTTGGAACAAGAAGGCGAAAGATTACTGTGGGCTCCCCCCCCTGCGTCAGACGCAGGGCAGCAAGAAGGCAACGGAAAGCCGGCGCAAGTCAGCTCCGCCACAACCGGGAGAGGAGCCTTCACACATCGTTTGAGAGTGAACGCAACAAGGAGGTATTTGTCGCCAGACCACGAGTCACCGGCATGAAAGCAGTGCGGTGAGAACGAGAACGAGGCACCAACCGTATCCCACATCATTCCCGGCAGCCACCGACGCGGAGCAACCTCTCGAAATTGCAAAACCCCTGGAGCGGCAGTGCTAGCAAACTCTGAACTAACCTCGATCCAAAGCCCGCCACGCAAATGCTCGGCTCCGCCAACAACATAGTTCAAGCTATCCGGAGCATTGAAGTAGTCACGGTGGATGGGGGCGCTGCAATTCACCGACGCTACAAAAGAAGTGAATGTAGCCTGAGGGTGATAGTGCTGTAGCACTGCCAAAAGGTACCTTTGCGTGTGCGGAAGCTGACGACTAGCCGTCGTCACACCAAGCACTCCCCCGTGCGTGAACATCCCAAAGCTACGATACTGAGTCCCAGGCCCCAGGGCTGACATAAAACCCCTGCGGATTGACTTATGGGGCAAGAGGC